GGACACAACATGGGCATAGGGATGGGCCTGGACATGGACACAGGCATGGGCATGGACACAGACATGGACACGGGGATGGGCACAGACTCAGGGATGGGCATGGACATGGGCATGGACACTGGGATGGGCATGGACACAAACATGGGCACAGGGATGGGCATGGACATGACATGGGCACAGGGATTTGCACGGATATGGACACAGGAATGGGCATGGACACTGACATGACACGGACATGGGGATAGGCATGGACACGGGGATGGGCATGGACACAGGTCTGGACATGGGGATGGGCATGGACACGACATGGGCACAGGGATGGACACAACATGGACACAGAGATGGGTGTGGACAAGGACACAGAGATGGGCATGGCCATGACATGGACATGCATGTGGGCAGACATGCATGGAGGACACAGCTGCTCCATGTGGACACACCCATGGACACACACACACGTGTGCCATCCCCACACATGGACACACACACAGCTGTGTCACGTGGCCCCCTCCCTGCTCCACAGCACTGAGCCCCCGTGTGCCCCCCACACCCAGAACCCCCATAACCCTCTGAGCACCCCTAGAGCCTCCCTTGCCCACACAGCCCCAGGTGAAACACAGAGCTGTGCACACGTGTGTGAGCCCTGCTCCCTGCCCCCTGCCCTGCACACGTGTGTGAGCGCTGTCCCCTGCCCCCCAGCCCTGCACACGTGTGTGAGCGCTGTCCCCCGGCCCTGCACACGTGTGTGAGACCTGACCCCGGCCCTGCACACGTGTGTGAGCGCTGTCCCCCGGCCCTGCACACGTGTGTGAGCCCTGACCCCGGCCCTGCACACATGTGTGAGCCCTGCTCCCCTGCCCTGCACACGTGTGTGAGCCCTGCTCCCTGCCCCCTGCCCTGCACACGTGTGTGAGCGCTGTCCCCCGGCCCTGCACACGTGTGTGAGCCCTGCTCCCCTGCCCTGCACACGTGTGTGAGCCCTGCTCCCCTGCCCTGCACACGTGTGTGAGCCCTGCTCCCTGCCCCCCGGCCCTGCACACGTGTGTGAGCCCTTCTCCCTGCCCCCCGGCCCTGCACACGTGTGTGAGCCCTGCCCCCTGCCCCCCAGCCCTGCACACGTGTGTGAGCCCTGACCCCGGCCCTGCACACATGTGTGAGCGCTGCCCCCCGGCCCTGCACATGTGTGTGAGCCCTGACCCCCTATCCCCCCGCCCTGCACCGATGG